GGGTATTTTCATGTTTTCTCATATATAGTTATGCACTCCATTAATTTACTTGGTGTGGCTTTCCCGGGTCCTGCTTTGTTTTTTTAAGGTGTTTTCGGACGATTAATGCATTTATATATATATGTGGGAGGAAACCCAAGCATCCAGAGAAACCCCATGCGCGTGAGGGGCCAACGCTCTATCCCCGTACAGATGGAAACAGATAGCGATTATTCCACTTGCTGTACTGTCTCCTGGGGACCCAGGGTAAGGCACAATGGTGCCCACGGGAAGGGATTTTCACAGAATTTGTGAAAAACTAAATATAAAAATTATTCAAGTTCAGGAGTCAATTCATTATACGTCAACGGGGCCATCATCAGACATCACCAACCAACCGACTACCAAATCTAAGCAAGGTTGAGCCTGGATAGTGCCGTCCGCTTGCGTTGTGGCCGAAACGTCGTGAGAATAATTTTATTATGTTTTATTTTTATTATTTTATTACTTCCCTTCTACGTGACTTTACCGAAAGAACCAAGAAGATACCTCGCCTGGTGTCCATAAGTCGTGAGTTCGATCACGACCTTGACGGCCTGTTGTATATTTGGAGTTTGCTTCTCTCTCTCTCTCTGTGGTCGCGTGGATTTTACTCCGGGGCTTTCCATCCACGTTTATAACCAGCACGCGTTCAGAGTATTTGGCTGCTGTCAATTTCCACGCGATGATAAGCCACTTCGTTGAGCTATCATTTGTGATCGCCAGGTGGCTTCTGAAAAATAGTTATAAAGCTCAGTGGGCCTTACCTGGTAAAATAAAAACATCTTCTTGGTTCTTTCGGTAAAGTCACGTAGAAGGCAAATAATCAAATAATAAAAATTAAACATAATAAGTAGTGACTAATCCCATATCTGCATTTCCCATAAATATGCTAAATTCCTCTTGATATGCAAATTCCTTTGTCAAGGCGCTCTTCCCCCTCCAACCCAGCTTAAATATACGCTGCCAAGCGTGGTGGTGTTTCATTCAGACGCTGTCTTTCCGACATACCTGTTCTTCACCTGAGGACGGCTGCTTGCGTTGTGGCCGAAACGTCGTGAGAATTATTTTATTATGTTTTATTTTTATTATTTTATTATTTCCCTTCTACGTGACTTTACCGAAAGAACCAAGAAGATGAATCCCTGCAGTCACGAAAGCTTTAAATCGAAAAATAAAAACATGTTTAGTTTTAGTTTAGTCGTGCAAAGGGAGGCCCCTCGTCCAGCGATAGAAGCACTAAAGGGCTGGGGTACAGCTGACGACAATAGGCGTCTCGACAAGCAGTTGTCGATGTGTCCGCCAGTGGGCAATGTTGACCATATAACAACATACTTTTTTAAACGTTAAATTTAATATAGTTACCGGACTGTATATGGCCGAAAGGTTTAGTTCTAGAATGAGATCCAAAATATCGAAATAGGAAATCTTAGATTTTAGAAAAGTTAGACGATTAATTATTTTGTGAAAATAAATAATTCGGCAGAAATTTGTATTCGTGAACCCAACAGCATTCATCAATCACACAGCCTTAAAAGGAATGCATACACAGTACGTATTATAGACTGATTAAATAATGCGTTTAAAATAAGGCCGAATGGTATGTCTGTAAAAGTATAATAATCTACCTACAATTTACAGACACTTGCAATTGACAATTACATGTCCCACTAAATGTGATATATAGTACTGTACTTCTTAAAGTAAAAGCTAATGAAATTTCAAAAGTGTACATTTCGGTTCACTGCATTTAAAATAAAGAAAACGCTAAATCAGAAACATTTAAAATCATCCGATCAGCCGATCACGTGACGATGTAAATTATAATGCACCCAATCGTCGTCCACGGGGTTGAACGTCTCCCGCTTTCTTAAATCACTAAATAGATTAAACATTCAGCACCAACATTACGATTTCACGTAACAAAATGTAACATTTACTTTCACACGCTCACCAAGAAGCTGAAAAAAACCACAAAATTATAACAATTTGAAAAGTATTTTAACATAAAAGTGTTATTCCATTTAAGAAGCTGTAATAAAGACCCCAATTGGAACGGTCATGTTTTCTATTTTAGAGTATTACAATATACAGTATTCATATTCTATTCTTGTGTATGATGGCAGCAATGTGTTCATCATAAGCTCTGCACTCCTATCGTTTTGTTGTTGCATTGTTTCTTGTTGTAACTCTCTGACCCGCCCCTTACTGGACGTCTGTGAACAAGAGCTTCACAGCTCGTCGGATTTCTCCAGGATAAATACAGATTCTGAGCTTAATCATAATTAACGTTTTTGGGTTAGATCGCGTTATTTATAAATGTGTCGTAACCCTCCACCACCCAACACGGTCAATCAGCAAAAAAGTGTCACGTTGACAAAAGACAAATAGTTCACTACTTTAGCCCACCGGTGTGAGCTTAATGTCAATATCGAGGTCTGCTGGCCACTACGAATGGACTTAAGGAGTTCGTAGAGTTTTGATTTGACTCCTCGTCCTCCGTTGAAGGAGCCATAGTGTGGTTCATATTTGTTTTGCTGAGTTGTGCACTATTTTTCGATTTAAAGCTTTCGTGACTGCAGGGATTGTGCAATATTCTTGAATGGAACTATATCCTCGTTCTCTGCAATATTGACTTTTTTTGTTGTCTTTGTTTTGTTGTTGTTATACTCACCGCACCACGGATTCCCCCTTGTAAAAATAACCGGGCAACTGGCTAAACGGGATCATCCGTGTAACAAATAAAATAACACGTAGAGTCAGTGGCCCGAGTAAAGACGTTAGCAGCTCAAGGCGGGGGGGGGGGGGTCAATCGGTCAAGTGCCCCCCAAAATTTGATTTGTCTCGCACGGTGGCACCTAGAGGCTTTATTACAACATCGTGGACTCCTCTTGGCTAATCACGTCGTTACGCTCACGGTCTCGAACATTGCAAACTGCATTTTAAATAATTGTTGTTGTTCTTTTACGCTGTTGTTGAAAACTAATATCATGGTGGTTGTAAAAGGGGGGCCCCAGCTCGTAGCTTTGGCCACGGAAGGGGAGGGAGGGCAAGGCACCCCCTTGCCTGCCCCACGTTAGTCACGCTACTGAATCCAGTAACAACACCAATACCCGCCATTCGCCACGAAGTCACGGTGACGCCTGTGGTGCCAGGCCATGTGCACTTCGAGGCCACGTGAAGTGTCGAAGTCTCGCTGCAGGCAAGGGGGTCACGGGACGGAGACCAAGCAGGCGCCATGGGTTGGCCGACCGAGATTACTGGCAGATGCGACCAGCTGTAACCCCCCTTACTGTGCCAACTTTGCTGTATTTTATCCGCCCGGCGCTCCGCTCGTCGTTGTTGTGAGCGTTGTTGTTGTTGGAGGGCGACTGCCTTCCAACTGCCCAGTAGTAGTAGCGTCCTTCACGAGACTCCTCAATATAGGGGCCAATCTTGACACTGCTGTCAACCCCTTATCAATGCCCTACCTTATTACAAATTACAAACAAATTCAGAACTTATTGGTCACCCCGTGCCCTTATAAATCTCAATTTGCATCCTACCAAGTCCCCATCACAAGGGAAAAATGAAAACAAAGACCCATTTTTTCTGCCTGTATTAAAACCGTTGTACGCGGTATGCACCTGAAAAGTCAATTTCTCTACAAGTGTAATGACAGGGTGCCACCTGTCGGTCTGAAGGGGTAATCGCGGTTATGGGTATATGACGTAATGCCTAATTATGAGGGGGGCGTACCTGGGGTCAAGGTGAAAGGCGGAGTCAGTTGAAGCTCCGGGAACCTGCTTGAAGGTTCTGGAAGGGGGTGTGGCCGGAGGCGGGGCTTGGCCGCGTTGGGGCAGATATAAGGGGGACCGAACCAGAGGTTCGGTGCTGTTGCAGGTCCTGGGTCCTGGCTGCGTCGCTGCTCGCCATCATCTCTCTTCGTCGTCTAACCACGTGGTCGAACATCTGCCAGGCTCTCATTGTCGCCGTCGCTGCGCTAATCGGACAGCTGCGTAGTTGGACGCCGACGATGTGGTTGTGTGATAGGGTCGGCGATGTGTAGCTGCGTTACGTAAATGTATGGCCCAGTGTGTTCCTAATAAAACACATTCCTGCGGAGGGAGCTGGTAGGAACGTTGGGTTGCTCGGTCAATGGCCAAGGTCAACGGCGGCGTGGTGTATTCCGCAAATATGGCCGACTGTGAGGGCGGGCACAAGCCGGCGTGAGTAGGTGAAACAATGAGTTTTATAAGGGCACCACGGGGTGACCAGCCCCTCCCCACCCAGCCCCACCCCTTCCACACCCCACCCAGCCCCCTCCCCCACCCAGCCCTCCCACCCTCCCCCACCCAGCCCCTCCCCACCCTCCCCTCTCCACTCAGCCCCACCCCTCACATTTTTGAATGCACGACGGACGGACGGACACAATAATCCCCTGTGGGCTGGTGTAACCAGGAGGTTCCTACCAGTATAAGAAGCCTTCTATACGATGTGTCTCGGAAGCCGCTCACTGCACAAGAATACGGGTTAAAAACCGTGTGGGTTGACAGGTTTATGGGTTACCAGTCACCGGCAAGTCTACGATACCGTATATTTAAACACTTATATGGCCCATATAGTATTCATATTGCCATCAGCGAGAATCCTATAGTGGGTGGGTGGGTGGTGGGTGGGCGGTGGTGGTGGTGGGTAATGGGGTGGTGGTGGTGGGTGGGGGGTGGTGGTGGGTGGGAGGTGGGGGGGGGTGGTGGGTGGTGGTGGTGGGTGGGGGGTGGTGGTGGTGGGTAGGGGGTGGTTGGTGGATGGTGGGTGGGGGGTGGGGGGGATGGTGGTGGGGGGGATGGTGGTGGGGGGGATGGTGGTGGGGGGGGATGGTGGTGGGGGGGGATGGTGGTGGGGGGGGAGATGGTGGTGGGGGGGGATGGTGGTGGAGGGGGAATGGTGGTGGGCGGGTCTTATACCAACGGGCCACGTCAATCATCTCCGGCGTCACGCCCCCGGGAGCTTCCCACCCACGGGGTCCCCGCTCCGCCCTCTCCCACACCAGCGGTGCCTCCGCGCCTAAGCAACTCGCCCGCGGGCTGCTGGTGTGGTTTGGTTTTGTTCTTCTTCTTGTAGCCTCTCACCCCTCCCTCCCACCTAAGTCTCGTCGATAACTTAACCCAAATAAATCGCTCGTTCTCCCGCATTCGGCGGTGGCGGTGACGACCTCGCCCACGAAAGCGGGCAGAGACTAGATAGTCGCGGCGGTGGGTGGGTGGGTGGTGATCCGCGCGTTTTCTCATTCGATTCGATGTTAGCGAGAGCGAGACGAGTGATTCAAATGTGAATTTGAATAGCGAACCGCTTCGCCCTGGGCCCTCTCCGCCCCCCATTGTGCACCTAACGGTGCCCTCCGCGCTCGCCTCGTTAACGGCGGCGGCGTCAAGAGCCTCGGTCGGACGGTGGTTTAAGATGCGCTGGTGAAGATGATGACGGTGGTGGTGGTGGTGAGGAGTGATATTTGGTAGTTTGTTGTTGGGAGAGAAAAGGAAGAGAGACGGGGAAAGGGAGCGATGCAGGCCGAGGGTGGAATCTCTGCAATGGAGGAATTCATGGGCACGCCGCTTGCCACATGGGTGAGTAGTAGTGGTGGTGGTGGTGGTTGTTCGTGGCAGCATTTAACTTCACCATCACACGCACACGTTTATAATTGTACCCCGTGTATGGTTAAGACGTAGAGCACGTGGGTTTAACGCGGTGATGTTTTCACGATACAATCATCAATGCTGTTGTAGTGCGCGTGTGGTGTAGATGACTGTGCCGGGCATAGAGTTGCCATGGACGCCTGTCCTACTCGCTCTACATCGTGTTAACAATCTAAGTTATAACAGTCGTGTGTACATATATATTGTTTTCTGTTGTAATGTTTTATAACGCGTGCGAAAATGCATCGTAGAGTGACGATTCGTGCGGAGCGCTGCGCTGTCGTGCATCAGTTGCCAAGGACGCGTTGCACCGCTCATTATAAACAATATATTGCGAACAAACCATGGGTTATAGCCACCGTGTATGTATGTATGTACACATGGTTGTGTAGTGATGTTTGACAACGTGCCATGCCGTCAGGCTACGTAAAGTGATGTGCCGTGCATCAGTTGCCATGGATACGCCGTACACTGCCTCCATACGTTGTAGTTACATCAATTAATAATAATAATCACGCGTGGTGGTACTAATAATCATCATCATCGTGTATGCACGAATGTAATGCACAACATCGTGCGATGTCGTGGTGTTGTGTACGAGCCGTTGCTATGACTACGTCAACTGTACAGTACACATACAGTACACGGTACAGTACATAGCACGTGTACAACGAACTCAGAGATTTTTTAATTTCGATTTAAAGCAGGGATTCATCTTATTGGTTCTTTCGGTAAAGTCACGTAGAAGGGAAATAATAAAATAATAAAAATAAAACAATAAAATTCTCACGACGTTTCGGCCACGACACAAGCAGCCGTCTTTCAGACAGCTCTGTTTCTTCACCTGAGGACGGCTGCTTGTGTTGTGGCCGAAACGTCGTGAGAATTTGATGTTGTTTTATTTTTATTACTTTATTATTTCCCTTCTACGTGACTTTACCGAAAGAACCAATAAGATGAACTCACACATCTTTTCATGACCATCGTGACGATTCTATATCGCGATTTAAAGTAATTGATCGCACTTTAGATGATTTGACCGCAGTGCACTGAACGCAATGATAATTTGTAAACGTGTCATCATTTATACAACTGTCACCCGAAACCGAATACTGCACCCAAGTATGTACAGACTCAAGAGTGGCGATCATCCAGCAGTGGATTGGCTTATACAGTACGGTGCACACGTGTCAAACGTGTTGCAGCTGCCATGCAACAACAATAGCCGACGTTTCAGGCAATGCCCCCACACCCTCCCGCTCTTCGTGTGTTCTATGAAGACGAGCGATTGCGTGCGGCCACATCGTGGTGGTGTTAACGAACGTGGTGGTGGTGGTCATGAGTGGTTTAGTTTTTCGAGTCTTTATTTAGTGTCAACAGCGGGTGACGATGACACGGGTCTCAGACACATGGCCCTTCACAAATAAAACCGGAACAGAAGATAAATCCGCAAAGTAAAGTGTATAATGCACAATATAACAAGACGCTGTTTATTTGTAATTACATCAACGTGTACAGTACTCTGCAATACACATTTTCCCTATACGCTTTTACATACACAGTATGCATAAGTACTGCATTTTATAATCTGTGTATGAACCCAATATTTGCACAAATGGCTTGCCCGTATACAATATCACGCAATATACAGTTAAATTCACATTTAAACACGAAAACAATTATTCGGTACAATATATTTAATTCGAATAATATAAAAAATATATGTCATAAATCTGTGCTCCTGTGTTACACACTGTTCCTGGATGATGTACAGGAGCTCTGTGCTTGGATCACGTTGCTATGGACACAAACCTTGCCTGCACACTCAGCTGTACACACACCTTGACACACCCTCTGCCGTATACACAGCGCCCCTAACGTATACATAAAGCGTGGAATAACATTCACGTTCAAGACAATCTACTGCTGGTTGAAGGCATCTTCACACTGTGGCAGTCCATGGGGGGGGGGGGGGGGGTTACATGACCATACTTCCCCACGCTTGGCCAGTGCTGTTTATTGATAGTGGCACGGGAGGTTTGGGGGCAAAGACCAGATCAGATTTCGATTTTATGCTTTCGTGACTGCAGGGATTCATCTTCTTGGTTCTTTCGGTAAAGTCACATAGAAGGGAAAAAAAAGAAACATAATAAAATAAAAAAAATAAAAAATAAATGCAAATATTTAATGTTTCAATTTTATTATTTTATTATTTCCCTTCTACGTGACTTTACCGAAAGAACCAAGAAGACCAGATCAGATATTACTTCGCGCCGCTGGTGTTAGCCGTAGCCAGGACTCGAACAGGGGTTGGCTTGGTTCAGAGCACGAATGTGATGCATTGTGCATATGCATGTTGCACTTCTTTCGCACCGTACGTAGCCAACCGTGATAATCGTATATAGTGTATATCTTATCATTGAATGCCTTACACTGCACATACGTTTTTTTTTCATAATCGATGTATGTGTGTGGAAGTAAAATTGAAGGTACAGATTCCTTTGTCAATTCACGACTGGGTTGAAGCCCTCTATCCCGCTGTATGGGTCGTTGAGGTTTGACCAGTTCAGAAATCACTCGCCACTGATGTTGACCGTCGCCGGGAATCAAACCGAGATGACCACGTGCGGGGCGGTGGAGTGCGTTGACCACTGTGCCTCCCCCAACCCCTGCCTATTTATTCCATAAAAATGTTGCGTGTGGAAATGTACTTGAATATACATCTCTTAAAATACTTGGTACGTAATGTCACGCATTAGTTGCTATATCACACAGCCGTATATCATATCAGTCGCTACGGACGCACGCGTTGCGTCTCGTAAAATGCAGGCAAACGCATTTTTAGAGCCCTGTTATATTACACGGAAGTGGGCTTGGCAATGCACGGAGCGATCCACTTACAGATACACCACTCAAATAACACGTTAAAAAAATGACAGCGAAAAACATATTTCCAAGTGTCTAACACGTCTGTCCACCGATCTCAATGCACTGATTAAATCTCCTAGCTCCGCTCTCTTCTGCAAGACAGACAGGGAGCTCATCGCTTTCATGGTATTCAATTGAGGCTTGCATAGACACTGGTGTGGTGTACAGATACAATGGATCACCCTGCCCGTATTCGTAAACCCTACAAGCCGGCAACAGCAGCCGCGGTGCGGCACTACGCCTCCTAACGGATCCTTTTTTGTTCTGTCCCTTTCGCCGCCACTGTTTTTAATGGGAACCAGGTCAGGACGTTCTCCCCAAAAAACGAGGAGGAGGAGGACACGTTGACGGAGTACACCAAGCTGGTGGATGGCGTGTTCCTCAACGACATCATGCAGCAAATGTGAGTCTCATCCCCCCCCCCCCACCGTGCTGGAGGCGAGAGAGGCGGCGGGCAGGCAATTGTGTTGGCAACCGGCCGTTGCCGGGGTCAGAGGTCACCACCAAGGGGGCACTGCATGGACCCCTGTGCTGGCGGGAGGGCGGAGGGGTGGGGGTGGTTGGCGAGATGGCCCGCTGGCCGTAAAGATGTACTTAACAGCTCTTAATGGCCGCACCAGGGCAACTCGTTTTATTAGTCGTCTCCAGACCCTGTTCGGCCAGGAGGGATGGAGCCGCAGCGTAAAAGTGAATCCTGGCAAAATCATTGTCCAACCAGAATGTTTCCCGACACAGTAGCTGCTCGTATGTTTATATTCTTCGTGTACACTACCGTACACCATCATCGTAAAATGAGAATAGATTTTTTTCAATTGAATCGTGACCCTGAATCACGACGGAGAGAATCGTTGCACCCCTCGTAACATTGCACAATGAATAGCATGTTACGTATACATATATATGTTGAATTTCTTTCGCACCGTACGTAACCAACCATGCTAATCCGAGGTGTGGGGGGAAGGACAACAAACTAAACACAAAAGCAGTTCTAAAGAAATGAGTTTTCAATCTAGATTTAAAAGTGAATAGCTCCAATGGCTTCCTAATATCGGAAGGAAGAGCATTCCAGACGGCCGCAGAAGTGCATCTGAAAGCGCGCAATGGTTAGCCAAAAGCCACTGAGAATGACCGGAGTTTGCTTGATGGTTTATTCCCCTCGACGAGATGAAATGAAGAACAACATTGGATTGGAACCTTCCCATGCCGTGAGGTTCACGGGAGTTATTTGAGCATATTCCACCACGCTAATCAGCGCAGGGTTGGTGAAGGCGGGGAGCACAGACGATGCCCTAAATCGCTCCCAGTGTTGTTATGAGTTTATAGTCACTCATGCAAACACGTACAGTGCAGTCACAAAAGAAATGTGTATCTTTATGGGTTTCTGGTTAAATAGAGCTCATTACCGTCATCATAGTCATCGTCTCATTCAAAGACACATGATTGAGGAACAGGCTGGAAGTCGCTGACTCAATTGCGCTGTGCGGTTTGACGTGGCGCTGTGCTCAGTAGTTTATGCAAAGCTCATTTTGGCTGCTGACCATCCCTCGGGCAATCTCATGTGATCCGTCCAGCGCATGCCAGCCATGAATCCCTGCGTATGTAATAGTTGTGTAATTGTTTGCTCCCATCGCGATTTGATGATAGTGATTATCACAATTTAGGTTGACGATTCAATCCAGAGATCGATTGTGATTATTTTACGTTGTTGTTGCCGCCGTTGCTGCTATTGCCGTGCACGTAGAATCTCTCGTGGCCGCTGGGGTCACGCGACCCCATTGACCTACAATGCATACGAATTGCAAACGATTGTTCGTCACGAGCGTGATTGGATGCAAGTGTCGCGAGTGTAGAGGATCGATTCTAAGCGATGAATCAACTAATCGATGAGTGCCTAGAATGTAACCAACAGAAGAAGTGCACACGTGTAAAGTTAGCAACAGCAAAAAACGCCCATTGAGTTGGTTGGCAAGTGTCAACTTCATGGGTGTCTGTCATTATACTGATAAACCCACTGGCAAAAAAAAATGGAACAACTGAAAGTTGTTCAAAACAGCACGGAGAAACGCACGATTGGAATTATATTTAGAAGCAGATAGAGGAACTCATGGATCAGCAGACTAGACAACTCATTGTGATGACTCTTTTGGAAAATTGGCTCGCATGGAACACATCGCAACAAGGGGGGGGATGATGGCTGATGGATGAGACCGGTGAAAGAAGGAACACATCTGAGAAGATGGTCACCGTGGAAATGGATCGACAGGGATCATATGAGGTGCAGGAGGAGAGAAATCGATCGTGACGGCGTTGGGGGGAGGCATTCATCCATCAGTGGTTAGACCACGTTTGACGGCGATCGTGAATTATTGTTTCCTTTAAAGAAATACCTTGCATTTGTAAAACACGGGTTTACCATGTTACGTAAATGAAGGCAGTGTTGTTGCAGTGAGATACACAATGCCCTGTCGTAACAGCAGTGAGTGGCTGTGGCTACAGCCGCCGAAAAGGTGCGGCTGCTGCCGCCGACAGCTCGCGGTGATGCCGCTTTTACAGCCAAGCGAGCACATAAAGAGACAAGTGTATATGCCCGTTTTGCCCTCGGTTTCAACTATATTCACGATGTGATGGAGGGATTCATCCGGCAGTGGGTAAAACACGGGTCAACCATCAAACGTAAATGAAGGCGGTGTCGTTACAGTTAGATACACAATGCCCTGCCGTAACAAAACATTTATTGAGCTAGATTTGAAGCTTTCGTGACTGCAAGGATTCATACTCTTAGTTCCTTCGGTAAAGTCACGTAGGTAAAAAAATTAATTAAAATTAATAAAAATAAAACAATAAAAATCACGACGTTTCGGAGGCAGCACAAGCTTCCGTCTTCAGGCTGTGACAGTTTCACCTGAAGACGGAAGCTTGTGTTGCCTCCGAAACGTCGTGATTTTTATTGTTTTATTTTTATTAATTTTAATTAATTTTTTTTACCTACGTGACTTTACCGAAAGAACTAAGAGTATTTATTGAGCTGCTTCGCTCCTCACCACTGCCTCCTGGCCGGTGGAGGCAGTGGCAGCAGTGAGTTGCTGTGCCCACAGCCACCGAAAAGGTGTTTCAGCTATTTTCACGGCCTTCCTTTCTTGAGAGATGTCACCTGTTTACAAGGACAGAAGGAGGAGGGAGAGGTGGAAGGGAGGATGCGGTGGAAAGAGATGTCATGATCAGTGGATGCCCACCAGAGTAGAGGCACCCAATGTGAATACTGTATGTTGAGAGAGAACATGTGAGCAGCCGACCCCAGGCAATAATGACACGTTTTGGCTTAGAATAAGAATTTACTGTGTGTGTAACGCCTCGTGCATTGTTGCACCTCATTCCTTTAGAACAGTTTTTTTGTGTGTTTAGTTTGTTGTCGTTCCCCTGCACCCTCCGATTAGCAAGGTTGGCTACGTACGGCGGGAATGAAGTTCAACATACGTACCTCGTGTTTTATACCTTTTCACTTTTGTAGGGGGCTCTCACCTGGTTTTAATCAGGTGAACCAATTGTGTTTGTGCAGATTATGGACGGAATGCCACGTACAGTACAGATAGGTGTTTGATGATTCACCAGTACCATTGTGATGCTCTGAATTGTCACAAATTGTGGGGGGGGGGGGGGGGCGTGATTAGATTTGCAAATAGATTTTTTTTGCCCTTGTAGTTGCATGTATAATCTACTGTGGTATGGAGCCTACAGAATCTACCGTGATACGAACGTCCAGGATTTACAAGTGGTGCGAGTCAAAAAATGCATCTATTATCAAATGTAGTGTTATCTATATATATAAAATCGCAAATCTGTCTGTTTGTCTGTCTGTCTGTCTGTGTGTGTGTGTGTCTGTTTGTCTGTGTGTCGCTGGACCATACGCAGTTTCATTGGACGAAATGTGAGGGATTTGCGAGACGCGATTGGTCCGTTTGGTTTTCCACGGCGGTTGCCCCTGGCAACGGGTAGCGACGCATTCGCTGCGGGGTGGACGCCATTTTTAATTCCCATTAAAAATATGCGCACGCATTAACACGCGACTCTGAGGTAAATTCATCAAAGTTTCAAGTCCTCTTCACTCCCCCCCACCCCAATGTGTGCAATTACTATTATAGGGTCGGTAGATAATAAAATTATAGCGATTAGACAGTATTATTGTAGCGCGGGGGGGGGGGGGGGTTAACGGCCCCAGTACCCAGCCTCAGCCGGGTGGGCAATTTAGGCGAGGCCGGAGGCTCTGCACGGTACTAGGCCTTGACACCTCACTCGTGTCAAGCGACGACTTTGTGGTATAAACTCGATATACTCAGCGTTGTCCGGGGGGAAAATACATTAAAATCTTCTGCTTAGATGAAAGCCTCCCCATGTTGTGTTAGACCATGGGAGTTGTATGACCATATTTCACTGTACCGATCGGTTTGGGTTAGTGCCGGTACGGTTCAAATATCGCTCCTAACCGACGTGAGCTGTGGCTGGGAATCGAACTCAAGTTGCCGTGTGCTCAGAGCGCTCACCACTCTACATCACCTCCGTCCACTATTACTGATATGAATATTCAGAACGTATTGAGGTATAAGAACTGTGAAGACACAGTACGGGTATATAATTGTTATTTATACATGCGGTGAATCATTGCACGTGTCGTAAAAAGTGAGGATAAAATGTGACGGCTAAATCGTGGGGTAGTTACATCCATAAGTACTGCACATAACCGGGTATGCGAGTCAGCATTATCCCCGCGAATGCTGGCCGACCAAAAAACGAAGCAAAATTGCCTTTATTTTCACATCCCATCTTGAAGCCGTAAGCCGTGTTACTTATCGTAAGCCGTAAACGTGCACAGCTTTGTGTTTTATAGGCGCAGCGTTTGTGTGAAGAGTGATGCATGGCCGTCCGTACACGTTTTGAACGTCGGTCGTATCAAGCCGTGATGCATTAGAAAGGCTCGATAACTCTGCCGGGGTGCCGTTTGCAAACCCGCGGGGTGGTGGTGGTGGGGGTTTTTTATCAGCTGACAGGCAGCACAGGAAAAGCTGACGGATGATAATGGGAGTGAGGTGGGGGCAGGGGGGGGGGGCAGCCTGCCAGGTGAACGCACTTGGCACGCGGCCGAGGCCGGTCCGCAGTGGCGGAGGTGGGGCGAGAGCCGTTTTTGTGGCAGCAAGCGCTGGCTGTGACATCATCCGGCTTGTGCAGTGCGCACATCCACAAACGGGGTCGCAGGTGTATGGCAGGTAATAGCGCAATGGTGGTGACTCATGCTAGCCACAGCCGTGGTATAGAGCGGTGGGTAAATAATTTATAAATGTGTGTGTAGATACAGCTGTTTAGTCAATCCCCTGGTGGTGGTCCACGAGCCCGAGCAGATGCAGCATTTCA